GCGAAACTTTTTTCAAATTAAATGAAACCTTTTTCATGTTAAGCGAAACCTTTTTCAAATTAAATGAAACCTTTTTCAGATTCAGTGAAACTTTATTCAAATTAAATTAGACCTTTTCAGATTCAATGAAACTTTATTCAAATTAAATGAAACTTTTTCAAATGAAATGAAACTTTATTCAAATGAAATGAAACTTCTTTTTTGGATTACTTTGAATTAGCTATTACGTGTTGCTCTCCCTTACGGTCAAGGCATGTTAAATACAGTGTTGCCGTTTCGGTCCAATTGGACCAAAATTGGTGGTTTCATTTCTTAAAATAAAGCTCTGGTAGGTTGGTTGGTTTGCTATGATTTTCGAGTGGTTTTGGCAACTAGGCAAATCATATAATTTATTCATTTTATAAAACTTCAAATATCTCTGTTTTCGGGAGTACATGTAAAGGATGATGTGAAAAGGAAAAGAGAAATGGGACATGTCAAAATTATTCTTGAACCGAAGTTGAATGTTGCCGTGATTAGACTGTGCTCTAATCCATAGGTTTGTTTAAGTTAAAAGAAAATAATTAGACAATTGTTATGCAAATGCCAAAGTTTACATTTCGCTTAAGCGAGTGAGTGAGAAGGGAGAGTATTTGTGTGTGTTTTTACGTAGAATTCAAAAACCAACAGACTTCTACTTATGTAATGCTGTGCGTTGGGTAACAGCTTACACGCGAAGCTCATTTAACAGATTCCTTATGTGACAACTCTCAAGCAATGCCAAATATGCATAACTGAGCCTTTAGTGTTAGCCAGACATGGCGCAAACGGCTATTAATAGGTTAAGTTGATTTCCTGTTCCTTAATCTAAAAATGTTTAACGGCCGCACTCAGAAACGTTCATTAAATTAGCTCTAACGGGCACTTAACTAATGATCGTTAAATCTGTTAATTAATGTTTCCTCTCAGTCATTTTTTAATGATTCATTAGTTAATGAAAACTTTAAGGGCTTGTCAATTTCTTCCCTCTTTTTCTTTAGCAACACTCACTTCAAATTGACAAAAAATTAAATATTTGAAGTTAGATTATATTGTGCTTTCATACGAAATACGTATTTCATTGTTTTTCTATCAGCACCAAGGCAAGAAAGCATACATAATATAATAATTATATTATAATGGTAATTATCGGTGTAGAAGTAAAGCAAGATCGTAGTTTAGGCCTTCCTCCTATTAATTTGTACTCGCTGCATTCATTTTTAACCAGATCACCAGTGTTAAGTGTGTATAGATCGCGCTTCCTTATAAACTCCAATGATGCGAGGTTAGCGAAATTCTTAAAAATCCCTGGTGCTGTACGGACTCCATAGAAAAAACTTGGTTCTTTGTATTGTGTGATTGATTCCGAGTTTCTTTTGTAATAATTTAACAATGCATAGTTTACATATGAATGAATGTATGTGTTTTAGAATTAATATGGTTTATATTAAGTCCTGGACGTGTCTCGGCTTATTTATGACCACTTTTATGTCCATTGCTGCACTACTTAGTACCCAGCCTGCAAAGAAAAGTCCGTGCTGAGAGATAGTATTGGGCAACGCTCTCCAGAATAGTGCAGGCAATCAATTATTAGCTAGCACAATTGTGATGAGAAGCGTTTTTGTCTATTTTGAGAGTGGCTCACACTCGAAGATGTGATCTGGTCAGTTAGGGCTACCAGAAGTGTGGTGGGTTTTGTACATCCCCAAAGAATTGTATGTAATAACTCTTCGAAACACATTTGAAAACTGCAATACAGTCGTTTTAGGAATGCGATTTTACAAGTCAAGCTACAATGCAATTGTTTCTTGGAAGCGACAAGTTAAAAGGTTCTTGCACAAGCTATAGTAAAGCTAAAGCTTGTCCATGTTACCACATTCAAGAACTGCAATACCTGCTCTTAATTCACCCAGGAAATTTCTATGTACGTATACAAATGTTTGTTTTAATTTAGGAAGAAGCAAAAGTAAATCGAAAGCGTGTATCAAATTTCACTGCCGATGAAAAGGCTATATTAGGGCAACTAATAAAGAAGCGGCCTATTATAGAATCGAAGCATACGGATGGAAAATCAATTTTGAGAAAGAAAGAAGCTTGGGATTTGCTTACGAATGAGTTCAATTCAAATTCTAATGTCTACAAGGTAAAATTATATGCGTTTTAAGGCGGGTTGTATGGAACGAATGGAACAGATTCGGATTCTAGATAAATTTCTAAGAAAAAATTCCATTAGAGCATAGCTCTGGATTTCGAGCCCGCCAAACTTGAAAAAGCTATCTTCAATTAATGCTACGTTAAGACATAAGTAAGTATTAAAAATATGACCTTCATAACACTCCCGCTAATATTAAGTGTAGACATTAACTTAGTATTAATTAAAGATAGGTTATTTTAAAATTTTGGGGGGCTCAAAATTTGGAGCTATAATGGAATTTTTTCTTTGGTATTTAATGTAGAATACGAATGTGCTAGGAACGATGTCGAAAAAATACCCGACCTAATGCATTTATTCAATTTATTATACGCCTTAAGGTAGCGTCAAACAGATGCGGTAAAAAATTTTACGATATGCGATCAATACAAACCACTGCGGTATAGCACCGCAGTGTGTCGTATCTCACCTGTTTGAGAGCGTTTGCTTTTTATCGTTATCGCAAAAAATACGATATCGTATCGCACCGGTATTATCGCATCTGCTTGAGGCCACCTTTAGTATTTCGTGTTTCCATATTGTTTATTTCAGCGTGAGACGGTTACATTAAGGAGGGCGTGGGAAAATATGAAGGCAGTCGCACGAAAGGCTCGGGCAGTAGAAAGGGGTAATTTATTTCGAACGGGCGGTGGGCCACCGGTGCCATCAACATCACGGCAAGTAGAAGCAATAGTGGACATGGTGGAAGAGGTATGTATCCTTACAGCGCTTTTACACGATATTTATTTGCTTATCGTTATCTTAATATAGAAAGGTCCTATCTCTCATCGTCGCTGAAATACAAAAAAAAAATCGTAACTAGCTAAAAATCCTAAATTCACCTATTGATTGATTTTGAGCATTATGTGAAATAGAGCCTTTCTATATTAAAGTAACGATATACATATATGTAAATGCTACTTTACTTACGAGTACATACAAAAAAAAAACGTTTACATATCGATGGTCCTGTGGAATAACGACACAAATTAAAATTCGAAAAATAAAAACTGTTACTACTGTTAAGTGATTATTGTCTCTAATCCTTGTCTAATCCATTTCCATCACTTACTAAAGTAAGCAGTAAGGATTGTTAAAGTAAGTACAAAAGATGAGACATGGATTCGACAAGGATTAAATACATGAGTCACTTAACAGTAGTAACAGTTTTTATATTTTTTTGAATTTTGAATTGTGTCGTTGTTGTACAGGACCATCGATATGTAAATACATTCATATCGTATAAGTGCGCTGTTAGGGACTTAACTATTATCTTCATACTGTCTTGTCGTCATAAAATTTAATTATTAGGCTGCTCCCGCAATGATTTGCGAAATCTCCAACAACTTTGACAGCGATGGGGCAATTTTGCTAAACATGGAAAATAGCCAATCTAGCTCCATTGAGTTTTTAGGTATGTCCTTTAAGATATAAGGCAAATCACTTTTTAACCAACATTTTTTAGATATGATCACGGAAGCAAATGAGGAATCCGACGTAAACTTCAAAGCCATAAGCATAAATTATGAAGGTGAACCAAATGTTGCAGGTACTGTACCTATAAAATACGAAAGAAGTCATCTACGATATACTAAAATTCTTTTCGCTGCTTTTTAACTACATAGTACACAGTAATGAAACTGGCCACCAACCAACAAAAGTGGAAAAGGAGCAAGTACGCAGACCAAGCGACTACGTTCGGCGGGAGGCAGCATTACGGGTAAGGTACCTAGAGAAGAGAGAGAAGCTTAAGCTTGAATTAGTCAAAACACAGGTATATAATAACTATGCATTGGTAAAGCTAAATATTTGTATATGCATATTTTCTTTTACAGCTGGAAGTTGAGCAAATAAAAAAAAGAGCAGCCTTGTTGGAAGAGCAAAAAAACCAAGTATTACTACAAAAGGCTAAAATAGATTTTGAAGAGGCAAAAAAAAATCGTTCAATAAATTAAAGACATAGTTAATATTTCAACATCTAAAGACTTTTATTTGTAGCAAAAGATCTTAGGAAAAAAATCTGTCTACCAGAGATTGACGCGCAATAAAACCGTTGCTGTTGCAGTTTTCATTGATTGGTGAGGCGTCGACATTAAAAGTTTCGATGTTATCAGAGCTGACTGGTAGCAAGTCATCTACTAAGATGGAAATGTTATGCAATGCTGCACATGCGCATATAACAGCTACAACGGTCTCCAGCTTAATACCCATTCCAACGTGAAGGCAGGGGAATCTTCGCTTCCAAACTCCAAAACATCTTTCCACAGTGTTTCTTGTTTTAATGTGGCTTTTATTGTACTCCTTTTGTGGAGTTGAGCTTGGTGATAAAAACGGAGTTAAAAGCAAATTACTGACAGCATATCCACTGTCACCTAAGAGTATTCCTTTTAATTCCCCGCTATTGAATCTTTGCTTAACCGAACTGCTGTTATATATAAAGCTATCGTGCGTACTCCCAGGCCAACGAACTACTAAATCAAAAAATTCCAAGTTTGGACCAGTGACTGCTTGTACATTGATAGAGAACCACCCTTTCCTATTTCTGTATACCTCAGCAGATAATCCTCCTGGGCTTCTTATTTTAATATGTGTGCAATCTACGCACGCAATTACTCCAGGAAAATGAGCCAATTCCTAAAACTGTTGCCTACAAATAAAAATGTGCAACAATAATTAAGCATTTTTATACATAGTATGTAAAAATACTTATTATGTATTAACGAAATTCAGAATACAAAATATGGCCCTACTTTACTCTATTAAATTCTTCTGCAGTAGATGGAAATTTAACGAGGTCTTTGGTTTTTCGCGCTATTGAAGTAGAGACTTGAAAAATTATTCGCGAAACTGACTGTTGACATATGTTCATCACATCTCCATCCAGTTTCTGTAATTGAAATGGATAGTCATATGTTATCGTTCATTAGATCCAAAAGTTGAGGCATTGGAAATTCACACGTTTATTTCCATATGTATGTTGGTATAACTTATTAAAGAACGTCGAAGTTCCAAGATAAATAATAATTTATATAATTTAATTATTTTTTTTAATTTATTTATATATGATATGTTAAAAATATATGTATCTATATGTACATATATATATAGTTTCAGCTGTTTCTTGAAATAGTTATATGCATACATCCATCCTTGGAAAATAATACATATAATATGGAGACAGATTCAAATGTTATCTTCTCGTAAATAATTGTATCAATACCAACCTGAAAACTGCCAGTGGCATAATATCGAAGTGTTACCAATAACATTATTTCCGGGTGAAATGGTAATCCTCTTCTGGTTGGCTTATCCAACTCAGAAGACACCAAAGGCAAAATAACATTCTTAATAGTTTCAGGCGTAAATCTATATCGTGCATGGAATTCCCGATTTGAGTACTTCGTGAAAGGATCAGAATAATCTCGAAGATAGCGCCTCAATCCCACTTCCCTGTGCCTTCTTACATAATCCGCAAAGTCCATGAAGTCTTCTAGATCGGACATTTTTCCACTATTTTAAAAATCTAACACAAATTCAAACGAAAATAATAAAATAATAAACAAAAGATTGTCAAAATCTCTCGTTAAAAAGTTAAGTGAAGGTTTTTCTTTACTCAACTTTAATGTTCATTAAATGCCGTTAATGAAACATTAGCTGACTCTGAGAGGGAATTTTTTCAAATCGTTACTGAGGGACACCTTAAGTAATCATTAAACGACTCTGAGTGCGGCTGTAAGACTTAATTTGAATAAAGTTTCATTTAATTTCAAAAAAGTTTCATTTGGTTTGAATAAAGTTTCAGTGAATCTGAAAAAAGTTTCATTTAATTTGAATAAAGTTTCATTGAATCCGAAAAAGGCTTCATTTAATTTGAAAAAGGTTTCGCATCATCTGAAAAAGGTTTCAATTAATTTGAAAAAGGTTTCGCTTAACCTGAAAAAGGTTTCTTTTAATTTGAAAAAAGTTTCATTTAAACTGAAAATGCTATAAAAGGCACCATCCTAAGATAAAACGTGAGGGATTTTAACCCCTACTTGGCTTCTTATATTTTTAATAACTAATCTTTATATATGGACCACGGTTGTTGCGAATAGTCGTATTCGCATCCGCAACCGCGGAGCTTCCGCATTAATTTTAACATTCGCATTCGCATTCGCAATAATTAATGCGGATCTTTTGCGAATGCGAATATTGAAGGGACCGAAAACAACGGTTATTTTTTACAACGCTTTTATCAACTTGCAATGTTGTGCGTCCAGAAACTTTCAATGTTGTGGATCCAGAAACTTTCAATGTTGTGTGTCCGACACCAAAGCAAAGCTTTGAAAAGTTCCTATAAAAAAGCATAGTGCATAGGGCGACAGCTGTAGTGAATAGGGCGAGGTAGATGACATCTAGATGTCGCCCTATGTACTACGTTTGCTACAGCGGAAATAGACGACACGCCATTTCTTTAAATAAAATTAATTGGTGCTCGTTTGTATGTACATACATATGTAAATGCATGTGTGTGCACCTTTCTATTAATATCGTTGAATTATTTTAATATCTATTGCAAAATTTTATTCAGACAGGACTAAAAAGTAGAAAATAAATAATATAAAAAAAACTTTTTAATATACAACGCTTTTATAAATGGACTAAAAAGTAGAAAATAATACTTCTCAGTCCCATAGAATTTGTTTTGATAACTTTTGATTTTGAAATTTTAGCAAAAGTCATTATAAACAATCTATGAAATTGAAAATGAAAAACGTGGGGCGCATGCGATTATGACTGACCAATTACGTATAATATGATATATGAAAATTCTAGTTAAAAATTAAATTAAGTAAATTACTGTGAACCAAGGTGGATGAAAGGGCGGTGGAGGGATGGGTATGGGAGAGTGATGGGCGAAGAAGAGACACGGAGGCAAAAAAAATGCCGCATTATTCCAGAGAATCCTGAAAACCCCATAAATCCGAAATTGGTCCCAAACATCCGAAAATAGTTCCCTGAATCCCGAAATAGTCCCGAAAGTCCCAAA